CCTACCTACCTACCTGCCACGCCTCGCACTCCATCCGGCCCAACTCGTTCGTCCCTTCCAGTCCCGTTCTGCTACCGTTGCGTCTTTGGAGGGAATGGGAGGGGCGGCGGCGGGGGCACGCGCCCGGCCAGCAGCGTCACCACCGCTGCACCTGCCGTCGGACTTCCGACCGACCCGCGCGCCCTTCAGAGTATACGAACGTTGTATGTACACCAGGGGAGGGAGGGAGAATGGAAATGATGAGAAGGAACCGGGCGCGCGGCCCGTAAAAAAAAACGAGAATGTGAAAACACCCGGTAATTCTAGTCGGCGGCTGCTATGGGGCAGTTTAGATAAAACTAAACGCTTGTGTGCTCGCTCGTCTTTTATAGTGTTCCTCTCCAAAAGGCGTCACACTTTCAGCGGAAACTGGCTGTCTGACACACTCTGGACTCACCACCGGGGCCCCTATTGGCGGCCGGCCAGCAGCGCCCGGGCGCGGACCGTTCTGCATTCTGTGAATGTGTCGGGGGACCGGGGGGGGGGCTGAGGGGGAGCGACCCCGCTGTGTATCACATACATATTTAATTCACTCGGGTGACGACCGTTTTAAAAGGCGGCGGATATAGGGAGACGCTCGGCCACGGCGCAACGGGGAGGGAGGGATGATGTACGCCCTTGTTTCTGGCCAGATCTGGCAGCGTGCCCCGCCGCCGCCGCCACGCCCTGGAGCAGGCTGAGGAGCAGGCGACCTGCTGCTGCTGCTGCTGCTGCTGCTGCTGGAGACCCTCATTGACGGAGAACTCCGGCCGTGATTCACCCCGGGGCCGAGCCCGTGCCGGGCCGCGTCACCCGCAGGACCGGGCCGCGAAAGGCATTCCTCGCCGCCCACACCAACAGGGCCGGCGGCCGCGGCAGGATGGCGGCGGGTGGGGCGCGGCGCGGCGGGGCCGGGGGGCCGGCCGGTACTTGCGGATCAAGCAAAGCCTGTGGTACCGGCCGGACCGGGCGCGCTGCGCGCGAGGCGCGGCGGGAGTGCCTTGGCTGTGGCTGGCCGCCACTCCAAAGAAAAACACAAGAAGAGAGTCCATGTGCCGCGCGGGGGCGGCGTTCGGCCCACGTCCAATAGCGGGCGTGATTGGGCCCCCGATTGGGATGCATCACCCCGCCGTCCGTGTCGGCTTATTGATTACGATGTCGACGAGCCGCTCGGCAGCCCCGTCCCAATCACAAAATGTTTGAACACGACCAGGATGATGATGGTGCTCGCTCACGGGGGCCTCGGCCGGGCGTGGCGCGGGGCGTGGCGGGGCGTGGCGGGGCGCGGCGCGGAGGGGCGGCGGGCCGGGGCCCCTTTCCACGCTGCGGGCGTGCATCCAATGCATTTGTTATTGAAACAAAAGTGAAAGGATGGCGCGCCACGCCACGCCCCGCGCCGCTGTGTGGTCTGGCTTGGGGAGGTCTGGTGGTGCTGCTGCTGCTGCGGCTGCCGAGCGGGACTATCTGCCCCTCCGATTGGGTCACAGAGTCACGCCGGGGAGCTCACGGGATCACCACAGAGAGATGCACCCGGAGGAGAAACCTCGCGCCTCGAGTCGTTCACGAACTGCCTGGCGGCGTTGTTGCAGCCCGCCTCTATGCAGTGTAGTACTACTTACCCGGCAGCAGCTGCTCCCTCTGGCTTTGAACTCTGCTGACTGGCGCAACAACTACGAACTCATTTGCAGCTGACTGCAAAAGCTGTTGTTTGCAAACGACAGTGGTGTGGTCACGGTGTAACTCGCACAGGCTCTGAGGGCGCAGACATCAGCACAGCCGCACCCAGCCCACACATTCGAAACGTTCCGGGTATGCGATTTGCATAAAACGTTACGCCTTA